GGGGGGGGGGGTGGGGGGGGGGGCGGAACCCCCCCCCCCCCCCCCCCCCCTCGCTACGCACTTCTTAAGAAGCTCCACGAACAATATGAAGTGAGACATTCTGGCACAATACCTAAGAAATACCCTGTATTTATGTCCTAAAAAGAATTATAGAGATTATAACAGCTAATAATATTAATAATAAAACAAAACAGAATGGAATCAATATTCTCACAACGATACTGAATAGGAGGAGTTGTATTTCACAATTATGAACAGATTTTCACATTTACGTTTACCTATGGAAGATTATGTTCAGACAATCCTCGACATGAAGCCACTGTTGGTGACCGTTGACTTTGGCGCTATAACGCGAGCGGCGCTGAATCGAATGAACCTATCAGCTGATACCTAAATCTCCGAAGGTCGAATGGACTAAATGGATGTGTAGCTTATATTGCCATCCTTTGTCCCTTCCATTCTCTATACTCGTACTATGCGCTATCCATTCAACGGCAATGAGTTACCTCTCACCAGTGGTAACAAACATTGAGCTGCGGCTGCGTTTAGTACTGCAGGATGGTTGCGGCGCGTATGCTACTTAGCAGAAAATTGAGGATGCAGAAAAAAGGATGTTTGAACAAGCTACGATATTAGCGGATGGCGGCTCGCGAGAGTGGCGCTATAACAGGAGATCGCCGATTTAAGCATATGGTGAAGATATGTTCTCAGAAAAGAGATGACAGTAAGCGAGGGTAGCGGTATATCGAGGGTTGACTGCATTCAGAATGAGTTCCATCGCGCAGGCAGCATTCACGTGTCAGAATCTTTGCATGAGGGACATATGGTTCCAAAAGGATGACGCAACATGCTGTATAGCCCAGGAAACGATGGCACTGTTGCATACAATTTTTCTTGGGAACATTCCTTCCTATGTTGGTGATACCACCTGGCCATTGAGGTCTTGCCACCACCAGACCATTTTCTTTGGGAAACATTTCAAGCGAGAGTTCATGCAAATACAAAGACGATTACTGCAAGGAAAGATAATGTGAAGAGTGCTACTGAAGCTATCCCCAGAGAGTCCTTGCCAAGGTGATGGAGGCAGCTGTGATGCATAGACATGAATGCTACCCATGAGGTTAAAAACTATCGGAAAACTATATTTTCATGGGTAACGTACGCATGTGAAAAACCTATTGATGATTGTTTAATATATCTCCTGACATTCCTGACTGTTGTAAGCATATCAAATTCATTATCTGTTTGTTGCCATGTTTCCTTGATCCATTGAAAGCTGGTTTGTGATATTGATTGCGACTAAAACAGCTGAGAGAAAGTGGTAGGTAATAGAATTATCCTAACCCTAGCTCAATGAATGGTTATGCTACTTGGCTTGACATGCAAGGGCACAAAAAACTTAGAACCATGGACAAATATCCATCAAATAAGATTTCATGATCCATTATCATCTTGTACCAGTATGGTTGAATAAATAAATAAAAAAGGATGTTCCAACTGGAAACCTTGAATGTATTTGCCAAAATTTTGAGTTTGAATATATGGAGTGTGAGTATTTTTGGAATCAGAGGTAAACATATCAGCCTACTTGAAACTCTGCTATGATCTTGAAAGCCCTTGATTCCCTCTTCCTCATTCCTAAAGTCATGCCCATTGTATACAAGACTTTTCAGGTCCTCAGACTCCAGAAGAGAATATTTGGGGTTGCAAGAGGTGAAGATCCCCAATGGAGGAAATTCCATTTATTATATCATTTATATATTTATTATATCATTTATTAGCATGGTTATGAATAAGAACTTTAGAAACTGACTGTTAAAATTGAGGCTCACACAATATCAAGCTCACTACAAGCAAGGTATGAATTCATATACCTCATAGGCTTTAGGCTAGGACCATGCATTATTCATCCCAATCAATGAGGTCCTGTTTCAACTTTGTATTACTATATACAAAATTAAAGACAAGGAAAAAACTCACAAGAGGATAATCAAAATCAGGCTGAGAGGCAACATCTTGGATGTAGTCCACTCGCCATTGATTCTCTGGATGTTCTAAGGCCACAGGAGGAGTCAGGACTGTCATGCTCCCAGTTATGGTCTGTGTGGAATAAATTTTCTTTGAATTGAAAAAACTCCAGAGACAAGAGCTTAAAGCCAATCTGGAAACTCAGTTGTATCATCAAACAAGATAAAGGAGAGAGAAACCCACCAATATGGCATCACGAATGTTCTTCTTGATGTCTTCCACCTTCTGCCGTTTCTCTCTAAGAAAAATTTAAATGAGGATGATAGAACACCACTAACAATGATAATCTTGTATTTCACATTAACATGGTCAAAGGCATAGAACTCACTCTTCACTGAAACCATCAACATGAAGGATTCTCATCTGTTTCACTATGGTGCTTTTTCCTGATTCACCAGCACCTATAAAATAATGAGCAGCGATATAAATATTACATCCTCACAATTCCAATGAGGTTCTAATCAAGAACATTTCTTCTTATAAATTTCATCAAGATGTAATTTCAGCTTAGCTGAAGCTGAGCTTACTGAAAATAGGCAAGCTCTTGAATGATTATTCATGAACCAGAGTATAAATATATGGTACATGAGAAGATACAAACAGACAACCCCAAAAAATTTCACATCATTATATGTGTGTCTATTGCAGTCTAGCAGGCAAACCAAGTATTCTGCAGTGAAACCTTGCACATTCAATCCTTATCATTCTAGGATTTATCTTTTAATTTAAAGAACTTTCACTAATGTACTATTTTCTTTGATTTTGTGAGAGGACATCATTTTTCAATGCAAATGAAACCTACTATAGGGAATGCTTATTACATTCAGAGCTGTTGCATTACTTTGAACAGAAAATTTTGGCTTCTTAACGTGGCAAAACTTCTTATTATATTGTTTCCAACTCCTTTCACCAATTTTTTTATCCAACTGTTTTTTGGTGACTGAGCACAACATGCAGGGAAGAAACAATATTCTATTGATGGAGGAATCCTTGGCTAAGGCACTAATGTCAATAATGAAATGAAAATTCCAACATTCATGCAAAAATATGACAATAGAAAAATTAAAATGTCTTTTTGCAAAATTTGGTTTGGCTGAATTCTTTCATGAATGCAGCATAATTGACTCTTCAGATAAATGAGAAAGTAAAGGGAAATCCTAAAATTGCTTCTTACCCACTATCAAATGACACTACATACATGTACAAATGACAAATATTACATTGCAAATCACCAAAGTAGCAGTTGTATCAAATGAAATCCAAAGACACAATTACGATATCAATGAACATTCCTGCCTACCAAATACTGATGTGCAACAGTTTGAGGTTTCCCATATATGCTGCACATGTAAGGAATGGTCTACTTCAATGTAGTCAAACAAAATGTTTTCCCCTGCTATTCAGTGCATTTTTACACAACTGTGGGTCATCTAAATATATATAAATAACAGTTGTTCAGTAACAACTAAATGACTTAAGTGAGTACCAGAGTCCTTAAATACTGGAGGAAAGATGCCATATGTAGCACATAAGAATGTGGAGGTAGAATGAGGTAGCACATCTGTGCTACCTCATTCACACTAAACATTATTATATACCCACTGTCGCAGATCGCAAGCTGTGTCAAGTTATAGTGAGATGATGTTCAAGGATAGTAAGAGAATTATTGTAAATTTTCATATTTTTCTATTTGATGTTTTCATCTGCTGAACAACAAAAAAAAAGATCCAAGAAGTCTATGAACTGGTAAAAATGAGAAAGCTGGGGAAGAGAATATATCAATTCATACTTTCTGTGTTCCATCTGAGAGGCAACCCATCATCACCTTGAAATTCAATTAATGACTTTTCTTTGGGTAGAGTCATCAGGAATGGGTTATATCTATTTTGCTCAACAAGGAGAATAAAAACTGATTTCTCACTGAGGTTCTTCATTTATTCAAAGGACATTTTCAGAGGGGTATATTCATATTGTGAATGCCTTAGCTAGACTAGAAAATGTAAGTTTAGCATTGATATTACAATAAATTATTGTTGATATTGTTTTGCATGAAACTGGAATACATTAATATAATCTAGTCTCCATAATGCAAAATTTATATTAAATCAATATGTCATGCCACCCAAGTACCTGTATACTTTTACACTGATTTATAATTTTAAAGTAACATTATATGCAGGCACCACATCTGGAAAGTCTCAAGGACCCTTTAGAGGGAGTTGCATTACATGGAACAGGTGCAAATGCTTTAATGATGCCTGAAAGGTATTATATTAATATAATTATTTTGGTTTCTTTCAACTCTGATAAAATGGAGAGACTTTGTTTCTTTGTTAGGAGATTGATGATGCTTTACTAGGTATGATTTCACTGTGGTAGTTTGTTTCACTGTTGGCTTAACATAAAGAGTCTAAAATACAGGCATACTATAAGCCTGCCATCCTTCAGTTGCAGCCAACAGTCCATTCTTCATAAGAGCTTGAATCCAACAGCATCTAGTCCCTGCTAACTGGAGAATGCCAGTATGTACAATGTGCCCCAACTTCAATCCACTGCTTTACCAAGGAATGAAATGCCACAGTGAGTGTAGAGATAACTGAAAAAAAACCTCAGGGGTCATTGATAAGGTGCAAAGTTCCTTCAAGTTGATGTTTCTTCTTCTAACCTACTAGAAGATTCCGAGAAAATGGTACATTTTCACTTTTCTGGTCATTAGAAAAGTCTAGTGACTTTTCAAGCACCTAATAAAATTATTAACATTGAAAGGAGGAGCCCAAAGCACTGCTCAAGGAAGTTCAAAGTTGCCATACACAACAGAGCATATTCTTACCCAAGAGAAGAAGTCGATGCGTGGACTTGAAAAGCTTCTTGTCCTTTTGGATGTCTTCCTCAATCTTTCTGTTGGCTTTTTTTGCTTCTTTTTCTTTTTTGGTTTTATCCTTTGCATTTGTCCCACCAAAGCAACCCATGACAAGGGCCTCTTCTACAGGTCCTGAGAAAGCAATAGACATAACAATATCATTTTTGCTTAATCCTAAACTTGCAAGTGGTGTAGATAATCTAAGGTGGGCAAAATAGTATCATATAAGGCCCAAATGCACTATTCAAATTTAGGAGAGATAAAGGGGCCTTTATGCTGAAGAGCTCTTTTTCTCCCAAAGGAATTCATGTATTCTTAAAGGACCATTAACTAAAGGAGGTTTCAGCATCTGGCACTAAGGATTTTCAAAGGGGTTATTATGGTTTGGTTCATAGTTTTAGAAAGGTTCTCCTTCCTCTCGCTAACTTGTCAAGGTTAATGATAAGGATCATTATCATTATTCAGTCAAATTAGGTCACAAGAAAGCTCTAAATCCTTATTGCTCTGGATGAACGGTCCATATATATCTTATGGGTATTTTCAAGACTAGCAACAGCTAAAAGTTTTGAGGGGGGATCAATAGAAGTAGCAAGTAAATGCCCCTTATTGAGCACCAATATACCCCCTGTTCCCAATATAGACTACCACCTACAGGAAATACAATCTGTTTGTCACTGGTATACTGGGAGAAAACAATAGACACCAGGCCATATTCTTTAAGAAGTCAACCAGACTAGCATAGCTATATCTACATTTTCCAGCATTTCCACCATCAAAGACAAAAATTAGAACTAGGAATTGTTCACTGAATTAGTATTAAATATTATATCAAACAATAATATTTTCATATACAGGCTGAACTCAATCATAATCCAAATAGTCCCTAACTGGATGGGGTTACACCTAAGCCTATGGCTATGATACCTGAAACAGCTTTCTGTGCCAATTTACACTCATGAGTTGGAATGAAAGAGTTCTAGTAAAAGGAAGAATTTATATTTCATTTGGAGTGCATTTTGACAGTCTGACAGCTTCATCATTATAAGCATTGGCTGGAGGCTACTTGTGTGTGCTCTAATGGTTCATTTACTTGAGATTTACAAAGTGCAAGAACCAGCCTCAAGTAAATTTTTGCAACATCCTGGGGTATGTATTACCAATGTTGTATGCTGTATAGAGGGGTACCTCCAGAGCTTTGACTTCTGCCAACAGGCATGGAAGTCCAGCTGGGAGTGCTGGCATGAGCCTTTATGCCAGAAGGACAACAAACCCAAGCTCAACTCAAGTTTCTTCAGCTTTCAAAATAATCCAAGCATAGTAAAAATTCCTACATGTGCTATCTTGAAATCCCTAAGCTGGTGGTTGAACTTCATAATTAGGCAATCCTACCTTTGCTTCCTGGTGCTTCAGATGCATGTACAAAAGGAATGTGTTACATGGCAGATGGGAAAGTATTGTTTCTTCACAAGTCTGTATTTTGTGCCCTTAGGTCACATGCAGAGGACCTAACAACAGGAGATCCACAAAGGCACTTCCTCCTAACAGTATTTTTCTTTTTGAGAGCAAGCTGAGCTAAAAATGTATAGTTGGTTTAACGTCATTTCAATATAATCCAAAGCAGGTATTTCTCACTCCAGATTTAGGCCAGAATGCTGAAACCTTTGGTAAATGATCCTTTAAGAATACATGGATTCCCATGGGAGGAAAAGAGCTCTCTAGCTGAAAGGCCCTTTTACCTCCCCTAAATGAGGTTTGTGCATTCAAGCCTTAAACTTTGTTTCTCAAAAAAGTAAATAAATAATATAAATCTTTTCTGTTCAAAGCTGTCACACCAAATGATTAATTTGTGCACAAATGAATAAAAAATTTCCATAGACAGAACCAAAAACAATCTATGCAAGGCTCAAAAGTGAAGGATAAAAAAAAAACATTTACTCAGGCTATACACAACATGACTAAGTGTTGTTTCCACCAATATAGAATTTTGGGCGATGTGATTGTCAGACACTTCAACTTCATCACTACTCTCAATCAAAGTTTTCTGGATTTAATTTGCAGCTTAAGCTTCTAGCCTCTTTCTAAATAAATACTGCTATTCAAGAGGCACCAGAGGTGCTTCGTGGATTATAATAGCAAAATCTGGGTTATGCCACTTCCCTGTACTCATAACATCTACCCTAAAAGTTTGACAAAATGTATAGTTTTGAATGGATAAGAATAAGCAGAAATTTTATTGCCTTGAACCATATAGGGCCTCATCCTTGATGTTGTTCAGAGCCACATATCCTAGAGTGTGACATCAAAAACATTTAACTTCATATAACATTTCATAGCATAAAAAAAAGATAAGGCTAGACTTCTGTGGTAGAATTAATCCTGTTTTTTTTTTAAATGAGTAAATTATAACAAAAGAAGACTTTACTGGTATTGCCAAATAGGTATAAATGAAACTATAAGTGATATTCAAGAAATATCCACAAGATTTGGATTAACTATAACATAAATTTCAAGTGAAAAAGAGAGCATGTATATCTGCTTAAAAAAAAAAATTTCATCATCAGCTAAAATGATTTTCTACATTATGAAATCTTGAAGAGAGAAAGGGGAAACAGTAAGACCCAAGCAGACATTTCCTATCACAAACCTGACAAAAGGATGATGTCCAAATTTGACATTTTGGGAGGGTCCCAGAGAGAACAAAGATAAATGAGAAACATTTACCACTGCTCTAGGTAGATAACTCACAAATTTTTAAGAATTGAAGGTGTATAAAGGGTATGAAAATCCCATGGAGTCTTTTAAATTTCAAATGCTATTCCTATAAGTCAAATAGGGTATTAATGTAACAATGATTTTCTCTTCTGTAGATGAAATTGGGTGGAAATTTAGAAGTGATAGATCCCCCTGGTGTTACACCTGCCCCTGGTGCTACATAAGCACAGCAAAATAAAAGTGAAGTGGCCCTCAATAGGTCTTTCATAACTACCGTTACAATGGAGTAATTTTAAAACATGTTGGAATAAGCATGAAACCCCTTTATTTCAAAGTTATTTAAGTTTCTTTGAAGGTACAGGGATGTTGAAGTGCAAATTGGTAATTGGAAGAGGATAAGGCATTTGAATGACAAAATACCTACATAAAATACACAAAAATCAAATTCTCTGCAATATGTAAAAAATGTATTTAAACCTTTCTTGGAACTGTCACAAATGACTGGGTTTCAGAATATGGGCTAGGTCAATAAACATTCTTAGTCTCTACCTTCATGAACTGTAATTTTCAATGGAAGGAGCTTGTCTCTATTCTTGTATCAAAAGCGTCAGAAGTTCCTACTTGGAAATGAACATACTGATAAACAACATTGATATTGGTATGCATCAAGGAAGTCACTGGCACTTGCTCACTTAGTTTCAAAAGCCTACATCTATGGTTGCTTTTATGTAACACATTCCATCTTAATTGCAGCATGTGGGATGTTTTCAAAGATATTTTAAGCTTCTGCCAATTACTGCATCCAGCAACAGTAATTGCCAGGTGTGCTAAAAATGTGAAATCTCAAGCATGAATAAAAACCTAGTCAAATGACTAAATTGAATCTGTTTGAAGCTTCACCATTCACCAGTCTGGTCCCATTCCCCTTCCCATCTCTTAATGGATTTTGAAAAGTGGCAGGTATGACAGTGTCATTGTTAAGGGGGGGGGCTTGCCCATCCCATCCAAGTAAAGGTTTTTTGGCTCTTACCAAGAGGCTAGAGAAATTTTTTGTCTCTAATTGTTTCAATGTGCATTTTGAATCATCCTGTATCAATTGGACTCAACCTTGATGGTCCAGAACAAACCTGGCTCTTTGGAGGTATAGACAGAAGTCTTCATATATCTTACCATTCCATGTGTGACAATGATTGCAATCAAGAGTAGTAACAGATACTTTTATAATCATCTTCATTATCTACATGGGTCGGCAAGAATTCAAATAATTCAGAATCAAGTATTTTTCTCAAAACTCATGCATCTAATGCTGTAGCTAGAATAAGAAGAAATGTAGTAAGAGGAGCACACATTGAGCAATGCAAAATATGGATTTTTTGTGTTATGTCTTCCACTTCCAAAAATTTTATTTGCCTTGAAAGTGCATTCAAATTATACCATTTAGATTTGAAATTGCTTGTTATGTTTCATTCTTCATAATTATGCTACAAGTGAATCTTTATTTGCCTCATTCCTCCAAAGCAGGGGTCGGGAACCTTTTTGGCTATGTGAGCCATATTAAGATTGAGCTAAGTGCTTGTGAGCAAAAGATTTTCAGAAGAACAAAATGTTTTCTGAAGTTGGCAACAGACATATGCATTCTTTGATACATGAGAAAAATGAGGAACAACCATGATTTTCAGCCACAACTCAATGAGCCAAACTTTTCGGTTCATGAGCCATAGGTTCCCAACCCCTGCTCTAGAGGATGATTCTCAAATGTCCTGATTCTAAAAAAATATGAAAATTACATCTCCTTGACTGAAGTATTAAGAGTAGCAATTTGCAAGGAAATTTGGTGCATAGAGTATTGCATCTCTCTCTAGCCCCTACTGATGTATATTTCTAGTGTGCAACTATTGGTATCACAAGCTCTCCATAATACAGACACATTGATACTCAGGAAATTGATTTACTTGACTGGAAAGCATAAATAAATAATCCCAATAACTTATTACTACATTTCTTCTTACTACAGCAACAGTATTAGGTACACAAGTTTTGAGAAAATATTTGAATTATTGTTAATCCATGTAGATAATGAAATGTTTAGAAAATAATGTTACTACTCTTAATCGCAATAATCACGCAAGTAATGGTAATACATATGAAGACTTCTATCCATACCTCCAAAGAGCCAGGTTTGTTCTGGACCACCAAGGTTGACTTTCAATTGATACAGGATGATTCAAAATGCATATTGAAACAATTAGAGACTATTAGGATATAGGGGATTGTAGGGATATGGAAACAAATTGCTGGCATAGCTATGAAATGTCATTTCAATTTAAGAGTGATTATAAATTGAAATTCTTAACCTAGAGATAATTAATTTTCAGCTTCATTCCAAGAACTACCCAGAAACTAGTGACTTTCGAGTCTTATATGGATATATTACTCCTAAAATGGGTTACTAACTACTAAACCTGGCCATGTGAAAATATGGTCAATTATTACACTACCCTCATTCAAGTTGGACCAGTTGGCCAATAAAAACGACAGAAAGAAGTATAACTTACCAAATCAAGGTTAGGCCTACCAAGGACCTTCATGGAATCATCTGAGCTTCTTGGCAGAGAAGGCTGTTTGGCAAATTGGTTCACTAGTATTAAATGTATCATTGGTCTGTGCAGGCTTTCGTCCACAGCACTGGTGACACGATTTTGATGCCCACTTCATCCTCTGACAAGTAACCATAAATGCCTTAGGTCAGTTCGCTTCTGTTTCTCCTGCATCCATCCAAGCACCGGAAATCTGCTCAGAAATCTTCAACATCTCACAACCCTTAGATCTATCGCCAGCTGGCATGAGAAAAAGGCCGAAAAATACACGAAATGAAAGAATAAAAAAAAAATACTCAACGAGCGTCAGAGTAGGCTAAGCCTACCAATTTCTCATGCAGTCTAGTCTAGGCCTATCGTCTTACGTCAATGTAGCCAACAGAGACCTACGGTTTCTAGAGGGAAACCTATCGTTATCACTCCTAGGCATTGGTTTGGTAGAGGTGCGGCTAGTCTGCATTATTGACAGCACTTCTCGTCAGTCACTGTCTTCATACATCAAGATGTTGGGCAAGCTTAGGCCTTGGCTAGCCACGCGAGGACTCCTGCATCACACTGACAACCAAATCGCCTGGAGTCCTCTTCGTCAGGCCTTTCTTCACGTTCGAAATCCATCTAGGCTTGGACATCGCATTAGAGATCGGGAAGAGAGGAAGGCAGGATCACATAAGCGGGTTATGAAAAGGGAGAAGGGTGAGACAGTACAGCAGGGACAATGTGATACTCATTGGCAACCCTGGTGCGCCGACCACCTCCTACAGTCGACAGAGCATCATTCTCCGAGAGCATCGTGGGTAGGCGGAACGAGAGGAAGAGGATCGATCGAGTCTGCAGGCTGTATAGTGGCATCATGGAAATAAGAGAAGACTTTTGCAGGTGGCCCAGTTCCCTCCGATCCCTTACGCCTCTGACATCTAGGGAACCATTCCTCTA